CAAGATCCATCGGACATCAGCAATGATATCTCTCGTTCCACGGCCTCTTCTGAATCCAGCTTGAACCTCTGGAAGTTAGAATCGAGTAGATTCTAACTCATAGCAAACCTGTGTAGGGTTTACAAGGAGTGGCTGGTGGGTTTGAACTGCTGATCTTGCAGTTCAAACTGAACTTGCAGTCCAGTGCGTGATCCTGCAGCGCCACGCCTTAGATTTTCTTTAATTGCTACCTTCTCAGTGAAGCCCTTCCTGATCACCCTATTGAAAACTGATCCCCACCCCAGGGCTCCCTAATCCAGCTTCCCTGCTGTTTTCCTTTTGGTACTTAATCATTTTCTGACCCACTACACGGACTCCTGGTGTGCTGCTCTAGGATCAGCACTGGACTGCGAACCACAAGGTTGGCGGTTCAAACCCACTAGCTACTCCTCGGAAACCCAACACAAGTTCACTATGAATCGGAAGGGACTCTGTGGTACTTAACAACAGCAACATCAACAATGACATACAGGCACACTTCGGAGATGATGGAGGTTTGGTTCCATATCACCACAATAAAGTGAATATCACAATAAAGTGAGTCACATGAATTATTTGGTGCATATAAAAGTTATGTTACACTATATTGTAGCGTCGACATAAATAAGTGTGCATTATGAAGAATTTGAAACACTGCGAGAATTACCAAAACATGAAACCGACACAAAGTGAGCACAAGTTGTTGGAAAAAATAGCGTTGGTAAACTTGTTCAACATAGGGTTGCCACAAATCTTTAATTGATAAAAACTGCAATACTGGAGTAAGTAAAAAAAGCATTGCTACAAAATCATCGAAACCTTTATGAAACAAAAATATCAAAATGTGAAGCTACTGTTTCTCGACACATCCTCCATCTGGGTCTATAAACTTCTGAAGCTGTTGTTTCCATCTCTCTCTGGTAGCATAGTGGTTACGAATTGGGCTGTGAACCTTAAGGTCAGCAGTTCGAAACTACCAGGTGTTCGCAGGAGAAAGATGAGGCTTTCTGCTCCCGTAAAGATTTACAGCCTCAGAAACCTTGTACAGGGTCGCTATGAGTCAGAACCAACTCCTCGGCACATAACCACTACCACCACCACCAATCCTTCCCCCAAAGAATTCTGAACTCTTAGATTTACACCATGTCAAAACGGCAGTTTTGGTATTCTCAAGAAACTCAATTCATGTTCTTTTGATATATTCTTGGAGTTTTGTGGGGGAAAAAAAAGAAGTCTGAGGGACAAGATCAGGGCTGTAGGAATGGATGTATGAGATTTCCCAATGAACCTCTCATAGGACAGCCCTTACTGTCCTTGAAAAAATGAGCAGCTGCATTGTTCTGATGGAAAAAAAATTCCTTGGTACAACTTTCCCCACCAATAGAGTTTTCAATTTTCTTAAAACTTCTTCCTAATAAGCTTAATGATAGTCCTATGTCTTTCAAGAAAACCTATCAAGATTACATCTTTGGAGTTCAAACAAATTCTTAAATTTAACTGGCTTAGGAGATCCCTTTGGAAGTGATTGTTTTGATTGGACCTCTTTTTGTACGGTATGCTAAGGAGACTAAGACAGAGAGAACTTGTTTGTGGCTCTCCACCGATCAGAGACATGTTTAAACGCCTAAACGCCTGTGCACAGATGAATGGAACTTAGTACGATACTTTTTAGTTACTCTCGTGTCAGCAAAGTAATTTGCTAAAGCTAATGTTGTTACCCTCGTGTCAGCAAAGTAATTTGCTAAAGCTAATGTTGTTATGGAGTCCTAGTGTGGTGCTGTAGGTTAATGCACTGACTGCAGGGTCGGTTTGAACTACAAGGTCAGTAGTCCAATCTCACTAGATGCTCCTTAGACACCCTACACAGGGTCACTATGAGTTAGAACAGACTTGACAGCACTTAACAACAACAACAGCAATGTTTTTACAATTTTCTAATGTATGCTTGTCATTTGCTAATGCTGGTTTTTGTCCATGTCCCTTAAGTCAAAGGTAAACTCTTTTAAGCTAGGTGTCTATTTCGTTTACTGTAAACCTAAGTGATCAGTAGATGTTTTCTGAGTAAATGAATATGGCAAATGAAAGCTCTTATAGATAATGAACTTTCTAGGATCAGATAGACCTGGGTTCAAATTGAGATTTTTTTACTCCTAAGCTATTTTAACTTGTGAAATTTATAGACGATTCAAGAGGCCATTCCTCACTTGTAAAAATGGGGAAAATTCTGCCTACTTTAAAGAACTTTGTAAGAAGTAACTGAATGAAATCCTGTTAAATACATGGTCCTAACCATTAAAGATGTTCATGAAATGTTCATTTCTTTCCTACCTGATGGTAGCTCAGTGAACTAAAGCCAAATAAAAAAACCCCAGAGTAGAATAACTTACTGGGTGGTAAACACCTCCAACAGCTAGGAAGAATAAGAAGGGAGGATACACTTCCAACCTGTAATAGACAGAAATAAAATTTAAAAAAAAAATAAACCAACCAACCAAAAACCAACAACACAAAAAACATTTTAAGCATGCCTTGGAAATGCTATACAGGGTCACTATGAGTCAGGACCGACTTGATGGCATTTAACAACAACAATAATGTAGAACTAAGAGGAGCCCTGGTGGCACAGTGGTTGAGTGTTTAGCTGCTAACTGAAAGGTTATTGGTTTGAGCCCACCAATTACTCCATGAGAAGAAGAAGTGGCAGTCTTCTTCCATAAAGAATACAGGTTTGGAAACTCTATGTGTTGAAATCAACTCAATGGCAACGACTTTGGTTTTGATATGTAGAACTAAGGAGTACAACCAGTTAACACACTTGGCTGCTTACCAAAAGGGTGAATGTTTGAGTCAAGCCAGAAGCATCTTGGAAGAAAGGCCTGGAGATCTACTCCTCAAACATCAGCCATTAAAAGCCTTCTGGAGCACAGTGCTACTCTGATACACATGAGGTCACCATGAGTTTGAACTGACATGATGGCAAGTGACAGACATATAAAACTAAAACTCCTTTACAAGTGAGGACTCAAGGGTGAAATTAACACTGATGGGAGGGTGGAGACCAGGCCACGATGGCCCACCGTCTTTTCTCTGCATGGGATTAGAAGTAACTCAGCGTGACTCTTAACAAACTGATGAGTGGGTTTCCCTAAAGACCTAAAAGCTTCTATATTCCCGGAAGCGAGAAGATGCCACATTGGTTTAAAGAGAACATGCTATTAAATTTAAAAATCTGCATTAAAATCTGTTCATAGACATTCTTCTTTGCTGTACTTTTAGGGCAGTCATCATCATTATTATCCAACAAATATAAGGCACGAATGCTTAGGCGCCGGGCAGCACACGGTGCTCATAAAACACCCACTTTGCAGATGTTTTTGGTGCCCATCAGGGCCAACACTCACGTGTTCTGGTGGGCTCGCTGAATGCAGTTGAAGATATGTCCATTTTCTGGGTCTGTGCTGTACATGGTAGGATACTGTTAAGACCAAGTAAGTACGTTTTGTTAGTCCAAATGAATTTCAGTGCTCAAGAGAACTATTCAGTGTTGACAGAATCAACCTTAACGATAACCTATTTCCAAAGTATCTTCTACTGTATTGCTGTAGGTGATCATTTGTTTTCTGCTTAAATATTTACAGTGATAATGGTTTCAGTAGTCACAGGAAGATTTGTTCTGTTCCTATGAAATACCCAGGAGAGTATTTAGAGACCTAGCTAATATGGCACTGTAGGACAAGCACTGGAATACTAAGTGCATGGTTGGTTGTTCGATCCACCAGCTGCTCCTCAGAAACCCTATACATGTCCACTATGAGTCGGAACCGACTCGATGGCACTTAACAACAATAAGAATATTGCTAACTGAAAGGCTGGAGGTTCAAGTCCACCCGAGGCATTGCGGAAGAAAGACTTGGTGATGTATTTCTTAAAAAAGCAGTCATTGAAAACCTCAGGGAACACAGTTCTACTCTGACAAACAAGGGGCCATCTAAGTCAAGAATCAACTTGATAGCAGTTAGTACTGGTGGTTGTCGAGTAAGGACATATGTCTCTGCTGTTAGTTGTGCAAGGGATGGAGGCAGCTTGTGCCGAACTCAAGGCTGTCTATTGATGCGATGCTATCAGTGGTACATTTCAGATGCATTAAAGACCCTGTAGGGAATTAGCTCCGTCCCAACTGACTTCAGTCATCAAATACATCTTTGTAAGACTTCCATTAATGGGCAAAGAACAATTTAGTAAAAATTTGAATGTAAGAGTCTATTTAAAAAGAGAAACTGCATATGAAAAATTTAAAAGAGGTTCAAGGTTCTACTTAGGGAGTCTAATTATATAACTGCTAAACAGAAGTAGACATTTAAAATTGCTCACTAGGGACAACTTCAGTAATTATCTTTTCTAGAGGAGTTAGAATTAAAGTACTAATAGACATCCCACTCCCACCCCATGTCTCATGTCCAAGTCCAGGCTAACCCTCAGTACTAAGTAATTCTTCTTTATTTGGGAAACAGGAAAACCAACTGAAGAAATTGTCTTTTGAGTGGTACATCAGGAAACAATGTCACTACTTAACCCTCTTCACAAAATACCACCCTTTCTTTCAAATAACATCAGCCACAAAGCATACTTCTCTGATCCTAGCATACCCTGACTTTCTGTTGGAGTCACTGGCTGGGGCCAACCGTTCAGGGCTCAACTAGTAACAGTTAAAGCCCACTCAGAGGGGGCTTTAACAGTTAAAGCCACTCACAGGATCCTGTGGCAGGAAAGAGGCAAGGCCCCATATTTCTTGCCTCTTTCCTGCCACAAAGGACAGAATTTCTAATAGTTCTGAAATGACCACTGGGACAACCAGTTCTACAGCTCTCCCTCCTGCACTGACAAGAGGTTCTTGAATAAGCCCACAGCCCAGACCAGCCTACGGAAGCACTGGTGTGTGCTCCCCACTCACCTCCACCTTGTACTTCTTGCGGGCCTTGGTAACATTGATGGCTAGATGAGCTACCATTATGAAGCTAGCAGCACCAGTTAGAAGCACGAACCCATACTCCTTTGAGAGGACAGCCATCTTGGCTCTGTGGGAGAAAGAACACATGAGGATATAAGTCCTAGCATTGAGGGACACTACACTGCATTGGGCCTTAAAGACTGTAATGCTTTATTACCAGCAAGTGTATTCCTACGCATCAAAAGATGTGAGTAAATCTGATGATTCTGATATTAATGTGTATCACACAATGGAATTCAGAAATGATTCACTTACTCAGAGTACTTGATCGTATCATCTTTTTTTTTTTTTTTTTAATTAAATGTTTTTATTTTGGATTGAGTGAAAGTTTACAGGGCACATCATCAGCTTCACATTCAACCATTCATATAGCTTGTTTCATTACATTGATTATTATCCCCTCCATATATCATCAGTTAACAGTTTCTCTCTATCCTCTTTAGCTTTTTTGGGGGGGGTGCGGCGGCGGGGGGAACTTGCCTTTTTGGAATTTACAGTCTCGGCTTTTAGGGAAGGTTTTTACATTTGTCTGTGGATATCCAGGGCTCATGTATGAGATTACTAACAAGCATTACTGAATAATCAGATGAGAGACAGTTTGCTATGTCTACTAGGTGGCTAAAGTCTGATCCTCAGAGCTTATGGTTTGGACGGTCGATAACGCTTGGGCCCACAGGGTCTTGACCTCCTGACCGGGTCTGCACGGTCTGCATCAGATTCCCCCTATCGTATCATCTTTTGAGCCTGGGTTCTTTTTATCAACATTACATTTATGAGATTTATCTATACCATTATAGTAGTTGTTCCTATAGAATGGCATTGACCCTAGAAGCCGGATTTTTGAGGAAATATTTAATGTGGCAGAGTGGTAAAGGCTTTATTAGATGAGAAAACAAACTGGGTATAAAACAGTGTATACACAATGTTTCTATATGTTGTGTGGTTTGCTTCTTGGCATGCAGGGCATTGTGAGGGCAGGATCCTGTGGCTAACTCTTCAGTCCTGGGCCACATGCTGGGAACATCACACAGGCTGGACAAGGCTTGGCTTGAGTGCTTTTAAAGCCCACCAAGATAAACAACTTCAGGCAGCTCCAGAAAACCCAAGTTTCTTATTAAATTATCATTTTAAACTAGCTCCAGGAAGTGTGGTGGTTTCTGCAATTTACATTGAAATGCACCAAGCAAGGAAGCTCTAAGCCCATATCACAAAATGTTAATTGTAGAATCTGGGTGATCTCTATGTAGACTTATAGATGTGTATGCTTGAAAATTTTTATAATAAAATGTTTGAGGGAAAAGCTAATTTCAGCCCTTTTTCCCAGTGTTCAGGATTTCAGCTATTGTCCTGTCCCAGGAGGAAAGAAAAGAGAATGAGAAATAGATTGGCTATGAGGAGACAAAGCCTGGTAGGTGAGTGGAGGTCTAGCACTCTCAAGATAAACTAGTGCTGCCCTGCCAACCATTGATCACCAGATGGCAGCTGGGTCCGAGCATGGCAGGACACAAAGAAACAGCTGCATGCCTCTCCTGGGATCTTTAACTGACCCCTGGTTGTGTGTGTAAGGTGGCCCCAGGTTGGCAGCTCCTGCGTGGGTTCTGCCTCTGTCTTTTTATTATTTCATCTCTGAAAATTCTACCTGGTTTTATCTTCTTATAAGTCTAGGAGGGCCAACTCAAGGCAAAATGTTTCTAGTTATCTTTACAAACAACTACATGGTGGTGGTGGTGTGCTGTGGAGTCAGTTCTGACTCAGAGAGACCCTGTATAGGGTTGCCAAGGCTATAAATCTTTACAGGAGCGGAAAGCCTCATGTTTCTCCTGAGGAGTTACTAGTAGATTTGAACTACTAATCTTTTGGTTAGAAGCCCAGTTTGTAATCCACTAAGCTACCAGGGTTCCTTAACTACATGGTAACAATCCTGTATTCCAATTTACAATGCTCAGATGTTAAGTAATGTTTCCAAGGTCCAAAACAAAGCATCAGAGCTGAACTTGGATTCCAATTCATTTGGATCCAAAGTCCCTTTTCAGTCTCACTTGAAAATTGAAAGCTTAACTGAGATTGAGTCAGGATATCTTTCTCAATATACAATTTGTGGCTGGAAAGTAGCTCAATTCTTTAGAAGTAAGTTTCCCCTAGGTCTCAGAAATAAAATTTGGGGCCGAAGTCATAAACACCTGCTCACTCCACCTCCACAAGAATTCCCATCTCTTTTCCCTTCCTGTATTCTCCAACATGAGCCAAGGCACATGTCTACCTGTTCCTCCTCTGAGGGTGGGTATGATCAGCAGTGTGGGTTACACTCTGGGAAAGACTTCCCATGACTCAGCACAGGAACTGCCCCCAAGCCCACCTTCCCTGGGCTTGGCTCATGTGGCCATAAAGAGGAAGGAGCCTTTGACTGCCTGCCAAGCGTCCCTGCCTGCATTCACTTATTAAAACAAGAATATACTGTGAATTCTGACTATCTCTTTAAACACAAACAGAAACCATGGAGCCTTCCTGCCCACCTGACATCCTAGGTGTCTAACCATTTGGGCCAAACAGGCCACTGAAAATGAAACTGCCTCTAATGCTGCCCGAAAACACCTGCTTATGAATAATAACATTAAACATATTTGGTGTGGGTCAAAGTTGGCCAGTCAAGGGAGTCTGCTTCCAGATCCTACACAACAGGAAACCAGGTTCCTGGCAGCATGGGGGCATGATGCATTTGTGCAGTACTTTTCATTTCACTGTAATCACCATACAAATCCCTTAAGTTCCATATTACAGAAAGAAAACAGAGACTCAACAAGATCAACAGCTAGAACTAGGACCATAGCAGGTTCTAGAATTTTCTCCATAGTTCTCCAGCTACCCAGTAGAAAACAATGACGGCTTAGTCACTGATCTCTGTTTTTCTGATTTGTAAGGACTTGGAGTCCTGGTGAAGCCCTGTAGGATAAGCACTGGACTGCTAGCTACAAGGCCACTATGACTCAATGGGACTTGACAAAAATAAGGGGGTGGAGTAGTGATAAGACAGAGAACTGCCTGTTAAGTTGCTGTTTTATATTAAGAAACACTCAGGAAAGCAACTGCTCAAAAATCTACAATTAGAAATGAATATTTATTACTGAGCCCCTTTTCTAAGGTATATATGTACCATGGGAGATAAACCGTGTTAGTCATTCTCCCTAGTCAGAGTTACTCTGCTTACACTTTTGATACGGTGATATGTATTGAATGGAAAAGAATTTGGATGGGCACAGGAACAATAAGCAATTTTAAAAGCAGGGAATTAACAGTACTGGGCACCTAGCGTCCCATGCTGCAGCAGGTGGTTTGTAAGGGCTGCATAATCAGTCGTGGAGACAGCAGGAACGCTCAGGTGGCAGGAGAGGTCCAGAGGAGGACACACCTGCATCAGTACAGGAGCAAAGCCGGGTAAGCTGCACGTAGATGCCCTTCCTGACAGTACCTTCACTCCTACCGAGTGAGGAGTCCTGCTTCAAGTCCACAGTAACCCACACTTCCTGGCTGGTAGGATTGGTTCTTTAAAATAGAGAGCACAGCCAATTACAAAAGCCTCGAAACTCCCATGGGGAGGGGCCATACTTGTCTGGCATGCTCCATTCCAAGCACGGAATGTGTGCTCAAGTTGAGGTGTGCAATAAATGAAGCACTGAAGCGCCAGACGGTTCTAGGGAATGTCCCTCAACTGAGAAGTTTGTTACTTGGCACATATACAGAGTATGCCCTGAGCCAATCTAAGTTTCCTTTTCCTCACCTCAAAAGTATCTCATGAAACAGTAGAAGCAACTGGGTGTGTGAAACACTTAAGAGCTCAGAACATAGGAAAAAGTTTTTGTTGCCAACAGCTGCTGCAAATATAAATCCAATTGTTGTTAAGTGCCACTGAGTCATTTCTGAGTCATAGTGACCCTGAATAGTGTTTCTGAGTGTTTGAACCACCGACCTTGCAATTCAAACTAACTTTGCAGTTCAGTGCATTATTCTGCAGTGCCACATTGAAAAAAAAAAAATGGTTAAAGATTGTTCTTTAAAGACAGAATCAATTCACTCAGGAGTTATAAACATTTTATCAGCTGCTGAATTACTATTGCCTGAGGACTCCAGGGCAGAGATGAGTGTTCTTCCCTTAGATTTGTGTGTGCAGCGTGCACTGGAAAAGGGGAGGCCACACTCCAGGCAGTGCAGTCACACCCTAGGCTGTGTCAGTCCCCGCCTGAGCACGATAGCTGCAAGAGGACAGGCTTGATCAGTTGATAGCTGCACATGGGATCTCCACACCAACACTCATTCAAGTGGCCCTGGAGGCATACCACATGGTTGATTACATACTAGTGTCACCAGTGACCCCTTTATTTATTTTTGTTGCTGAAAATTATGCGCAGCAGAACACAGGAGGGGGCTTCAGAAAGTTCCGGGAAAATGGAATGAAAAGGTAATGGAATTTCCCACAAACTTTCTGAGGCCCCCTTGTATATCAACAGAACAACTCTCGACACTTGCAAGTCAGTTTTCCTTTCTCAACCATTCTCATCCTTCTGTTTGGAACCGTTCCTCTCTATAACTCTCTGCCCCTAAACTTCTTTCTAACCTTCTGAGTAGCTGTTGTCAACTTGATCCCATAAGATAGTTCTTTAAAAAAGCACAGTGTTCAAGGCAGACACTGATTACTAATTAGGCTAAACTATGGTTTGAAGAAAACTTTAGGGGATAATTTTGGTTTAAGGTTTAAAGATTATCTCAAGGTAATACTTTTGTGGGCTCATCTAGCCTCAATGGCTCCAGAAACTGAAACACATGAAAAATTGAAAATCTGTTCTACAGATCCCTCCTTTTGATAAGGATCCTTCTATAGAAATTCTGATCAAAGTTGTGCGGATATCTTATTGGAGTCTGGTCCTACTTTGTCTTTAAGCTCCCTGTCTTATCAGTGTTTGTCAACATGTTGAGAGGTATTCACTTTTGTATTTCGTACTCAATCCACATCATCAGCAATTTCTCCATATCTAAGTCCCTGTCACATTTTTGTTAGCCCTGTAGCTTACA